AACCAAAGCTTCCGGATCACGGTTCAGATGGTATAAGGGAGTTTTTTAAACGCGGGAGAGTAATGAGTAAAAAGTGGGTTTGAGATCAGACCGGCATACACGAGAAGAAACACGGTGAGGACGGTACAGGTCTTGCTTAAACACATTGTTTGGGCAGGTAGGAGCGAGGAGCAGAGAGAGCAAAGATGATATGTTGATTTTGATGATTTTAGTAGCAGTGTCAAAAAGAGAGAAGGAGAAGCTGTACTAGTAGATGTGGTGTGTCAAGAGGCTAAAGTCGTGTTTTAAGTGAGATGAAGGATATAAGTGTGTTTCTCATTTGTTGAAGAGGCATAATTACTGATTTTGTTCCGGTAGTGGAACTTTTGAAGTGAAGCATAGAGATTCTCGGGTCAGCGCAACATAAAGAAACTTGTATTTGATGGGAAGCAAAACAAGCCAGACATAGGGCCTAAACAAACATACTATAATTTGCCTAAGGAGTTGTGTGGAAGTTATTCTAAATATTCGGTCGCTACTGTTACGAGTTTAAAATTGAGTAGGGATGTGAAGCTTTATATTGGTGAATCGAGATGCCAAATGATCATCGAGAAGTTCACGGATAAGAAGAGATGAGTGATGGATTTTCTATGATTATGGCAGTTTGATGAAGGCGGTGATTAATATCGGATCTTTTGGCAGTGTTTATTGGGCGAAGAAATTAGATGTATTTGGAGATGTGATATGATTTGATCTACATATTCACAAACAAGTAAGATTTTATAGTTAATCTCTTACGATTTTAATATTGTTTATTATTATGCATAGTGAATCTTATATTTTTTTGTTATGTGATACAATAGGTAGGCAGAACATGAAGTTTGTTCGCCATTTACTGGTCTCCAGGACAATTATAAGAAGTTGTGTTGTATTTGCAGCAGGCAGGATTGATAGCTAAAGAGGAATTGTATAACTTATGTCTGGATTTTTGAGGTTATTCATTGAAATGCAATGATTCGCGAGCCAAAGTGTATTGGTTACAGATCAGTGTCCTGCCATGAAGCAGAGCTATATGCCACGTACTTTACAGAAGCAACGTCACCGTTTTGTGCATAGTGGCAGCATCATGTAAGAAATTTAACCAAAAGGTAATGAATCCGCACATATAAATATAATGAATCCTCATCTAGACAATACTGGTGAAGTGTCTTTCGTTGATATATTTATATGTGTAGGATTGGAACAATGCATTTCGAAAGATGATGATTTCAAGAGGAAGATCATGCACTGAATTTATGAGTATAGATATAGATCCATGCACACGAGATTTGAAGTCGTTGGATAAGATGTTTATGAAAGAGATATAAGCTTGAAAGTATGAATGGTTGTGTGAACTGTATAACATTCGGGAGTCATGATTCCAGGCTATATTATGCTGATGATGCCCAATGGCCGTTTATTACGCGACCTTACATAATATCAGAAGAGTGAGAAACAGTTTCTTTGACAAATTCAACCGTAGATCTGACCACATTAAGCGAGAATTTTATCCTTCGATAGAGAGTGCGCTATGGAGAAGCAAAGGCGTACAAACGCAAGATTAACAACTATGAAGGAACGAAAACGATGCCAACAGAATGGACACACGCCATTGTTATTGGAGAGGGATGCGAGCAGAGTTGTAACACTCGAGACAACTGTTTGTATGAAGGTACAGACGTGAGATTATGTCATCCTGTTATGATACTGAAGTATCAACAGTATATTGGAAGAAGAGGCGTGGGAAGATTTATTCGCATAAAGGACAAAAAGAGACATGGAAAAATATTTGAGGTAAAACTTAATAATGGATATTGAAACACAAAAAATTGAATATATTTTCAATGCAATGAATCGCGATTCAGTGTAGTGAATCTCGATTCACAACACTGAATCGCGATTCAGTGACCATTTCATGTACTTGTCTTTTTCTTTTTTTACTCGGTGCTAATATACATTGTTTTTTGAATTTTAGGTGAAACACGCTTACTTGAACAATGACGTGCAATGTACGTGTAGGCTGTTTGAGAAAATAGGTATAGTATGTAGACATGGTTTTTTTGCACTGAACCAAGCTGATGTAACAAAAATTCCAAGGCATCTTGTTGTGAACCGATGGACAAAAGGTGCTGAGATGAGGCATTCATTGCAGTTCAAGGAAATATCAGAACAGTGCAATGCAATTGAAGTTACAAATCGCAAGTTGAATGACATATGGTATGATTTCCAATCCTGTGTGAGTTTGGCAGGTTTAGATGGTGAGAGACTTGACTACCTGGAAGGGAAGTTGAAGGAGTTGAAGCACAGTTTGCGTGAATCTAGTTGGAAATTTGACACACAGAACAAAAATGATGTAATGGAGTTTTTTATTGGCCCAAAAATACCAGCAGAAGTGATCGTTAAACCTCCAATTGAAGGTAGAAACAAGGGGTGTGGGCGGAGAATTGTTGGTGATTATGAGAAATCAATTACTCAACGAAAGAAGAAGGTTCCAAGGCTGTGTAATATGTGCAAAAAAATCGATTTCCATGATGCACGGACATGCCCATTAAAGAAAACAATACAGCAGAGTGATGTTTAATTTAGTTGTCATAATTCGTTACAGAATCATTTTTAAGAATATATTTCTTATTAAAATTACTGAATTGTGTAATTCTTAACTATATATATTTACTAGATTATTAATTACATGGTTACATTGTGTCATGTTAGTATATTGAATTGAGATCTACTCATATAGCATGTGAATTCCATTATTATTAGTTGTATTATTTCAAAAGGAATGATAAAGTAGTTGTATGCAGTCATCAGTTAAAATTTAATTCGCGTTAAGTGATTCTGGACTAACTATATTGAATCTAGATTGATCGGAGTGAATCTAGATTATCTGATATTGAATTTCGATATCACTATAGGGATTCATTATAATCAATCAAACGATCAAATTACTTGATTGTTTCGGTTTAAGTTATTCTGGACTAACTATAATGAATATAGATTCATTGTAGTTCTGGACTAACTATAATGAATATAGATTCATTGTAGTGAATCTGGATTCAATGATCTGCATATGGATTCACTATAGTGTAGTGACTAAGATAATATTGAATCTGGATTCAATGATCTGCATATGGATTCACTATAGTGTAGTGACTAAGATAATATTGACTTACTTAATTTTTTAGTGTAGTGAATCGAGATTCACTTTATTGAATCTGGATTCAATATAGTTGCAGTCAATAGTGTTTCAATGTAGTGAATCGAGATTCACTTCAAGTGAATCTAGATTCACTAAAGTGAATCTAGATTCACTACAGTGAACCAAGATTGAACCAAATGTATTGAGATTTAGCAAAGTGAATCCAGATTCAACAAATTAGTGAAACTTAAGATAATAACTTAAGATAATATTGAAACAGTGATCCAAGATTAAATACATACAATCCACAATAAGTATGATCAATTTATTGTATGTTACATAAAAGCTTGAATTATAACTCACATTCTATGCTGTAATCGAAATTCTTCCATTAGCATTCACTACCTTCACAGTATTTTCATATAATCCGAAATAAAACTATGACAAAGCTATTGTTATAAAGTATATTTACATAGAAAAGCAGTTCAACACAAACCAGAGTATTCCATAACATTAAGTGACAATGTACTCAATAACTGTAAACTTCAACATTGAAAATTATGCTGATTTCAGAATATCATTTTCTTTGAGATCTTGTGATCTTCCTCGTCTCTTTTTTGAATTTGGCAGTTTCAGCATGGTGCAGTTGGGTTTTCCTGATGACTTCTTTGGCCAATTCATTTGTTGGTTCAGTAAGAATTTGGCAACAGTATATAGACCTTAGTCTATGTAGCTGATTTTTTAATCGCTCCTGTCCATATGAATAAAAGTTCAGTTCAAGATTCAATAGCTAATTGATGTGCTTTATATTCTAAATTTTATTAATTCAAAAAGACTAAATGTAAATTATCAACACATTATTAGTTTAAACACTTACACCCTCTCTATGAAAACCAGAGTTCCAATTTGCTGTACCACCGCCCATGTAGGTCTCCATATGTCTCATGACAAAAATAGCACAATCAAATTTGTTTTCGGCCGTTCTCCACTCCATCTCAAGTCTGTCAGGCGTTAATGTATTTATTTCACTCGCCTTGTGATGTTTTTTGTCTGCCAAATATCTCACAAAATTCTGGTGCTGTTTAATCAAAATTAATCAGTATCACATAATAAATCCAAATTATTATACAGTAATGTTTAATGTAATATACAATTTGTTTTGGTTGTTTATATGGAAACAATATTAATGACATTGAATCACGATTCATTGGATCTAGCTCACTAGAATTTAATAGAGTTAGTTCACCTAGACTTACTCTAATGAATCTGGATTCATATTATTGAATCTGGATTCATTAGAATTAACTATAGGTAGTGGATCGTGATTATGTGATGTGAACACAGATTAACTAGCTATATTGAATCGAGATTCATAGTAAGATGTGAATCCAGATTCACTAACTCTAGTGATCAAAGTTTGAGATTACTAGTTATAGCTAGTGGATCGTGATTACGTGATGTGAACACAAATTTACTAGCGCTAATCTGGAATTATCTGACTCTAGAGTTAGCTAATATGGATCGTGATTACGTGATGTGAACACAGATCAAAGTTTCAAGATTCACTAATTATAGTGATCGAGATTCACTAGAGTTAGCTAATCTGGAATTATCTGACTCTAGTGAATTTCAGATTCACTATATTGAATCTGGATTCACTATATTGAATCTGGATTCACTATAGTGAATCTGGATGAATCCAGATTCACTATATTAAAACTGGATTCACTTATTACTGTATTTTGCCAGATAATGTTTAAAGAATATACGTAAGGTGGAAAAAACATACCAAACCCTCAGGACGACCTTGGTATTTTTCCTTGTAGTCTGGGCAGTTTTTGCTGTTGTCAATCAGCTCCATACTTGGATTCTTTAGCCCATAGCATACAATGTAGAAATGCTCAAACGCATTTATGGGGAAGAAGACCTATTTGTTGTGAAATTTAATCAGAGATTTCACAGATATAGTTAAAATTGGGCTAAAGAATAAAAACATTGTCTTCGAATCTTTACCATATCAATCTCATTAAACTTCATATGTGGATACAGAGCAAGTTGCTCATCCATCCGAGAAGCAAACCGACTGTATCTCAATTCATCATTGACCTCATCTGTGTGATGAATGTTGCAAAACTGTACAACATAAAACTGGTTAAATAATATGTTACTCAAGTGTTATTTTAAATAAAATAAAGGAAGATACGTACGGTTGTCTCAACATTGCAGAAGAATCTAAGTGGAGAATTTCCAGACTTCATTTGTTCTCTGCTGTTCAAAATATAGGACCAAATGCTGATTACATTTGCCTCAATGTAATCAGTAGGAAGGAAAGTCTTGAAAGCAGGTAAGAAACATTCAATTTGTCTCCACTTAAAAACCATTTCACTGAAAAAACAGTAACAATATTCAATTTAATAAAGGGACAAAATACCAATTCATTAATGAAAAAACATCAACAATAGCGAGTCTCACAACTAATAATAAAATATCAAATAAGTGTTCAGAACTTACAAATTCTCTTCTTCAGCGGAATCATCACCTGAATGCCTTATTTCTCTATGGACCCAATCCCATATGATGCTTTCCAGCTGACTTTGCCTAGCAGTAATCTGAGATACCCTCTGCACCCATGGTGACCGAAGAGACGTTGCAGGCTTTACCATCCTCTTTTCTTTCCCCCTTCCCGCATGTCCCTTATTTTCGGCCACCTGAACTTTCTTACCTTTACATTCATTAACTGCAGCAGCATCTTCAGATTGTTTATCAGTTCTTTGTACAGATTCATTAATGATTTCAGATTCACAAGCTTTAGCAATCTGAACAACATCAACCATTTCCACTGATTCAGTCTGAGTATCTTGTGTCAGCCCAAGAGAAAAACTAGGTTCTTCAGTCTGTGGGGTACTACTTTCGCTGATCTTCCGTCTCACTGGTCTGTCATCCTTTTTCATGCTAACGGACTCTATAATCTTATCAACTTCTTGAATAAAATTTGGGGAGACTTGTGTTTGTGGTATCTCACCTGATATTGGATCAACAACAGGGGAACCATGCATATCTCTACTCACATTGGTGTTCACATTAGGGGTATCATCAACAATGTTTCCCACAGCTGTTTCATCGTCACAGGTACTTACACGATGTCCCCACCCCTGCACAAGTACATTTGAAACTCTCTGTTGAATCTGAAAGAGCTCATTGACCCCTACACAAGTACATTTGAAACTCTCTGTTGAATCTGAAAGAGCTCATTGTCATTGGGGAACAACTTTCTCATTGTCTCACACTCAGCATCAAATCTATTTTTTGCAGATTCCAGCTCTGCAGCTCTCCGTTGAGCCCTCTCAATACAATCCTGCATTTTGAATATCACAGACATTGGTCACCATAAATTATTAACATGGCGATAGACAAGATTCGATAGTTTGAGATTACATTCAATGTATTTGAATCAAGATTCAGTAGTAGTGAATCCAGATTCATTCCAGTTTTACTTCAATGAATCGAGATATCCAGATTACATTCAATGTAGCTTAATCGACATTCAGTTTAAATGAATCGAGATTCACTCCTACTTATTCGAGATTAAATTGAATAAACAAAGTATTGCAACTTAATTTGCTAACCTTTCTAATTGTATCAACACTTTTAGGAGAGTTTCCAGTAGCACTCTGCATTCGAGATGAATCTGGAAGTTCAACCCTCTCTGTAAATGCACCTTTGCCAAATGAATTTGTTCTTATTTCCTCTGACTGTCTTTCCTTCAAGGCGAAGTCAGTCCATCCTAAAAATGTAGGGGTTGTTCTCTCAACCAACCTCCTACCTTTGAACAGAACCCGATCGGCATAGAAAAGCTAGAAAGACGGAGATAAGAAATAAAGCACATCAATTAGTAATCATCAAGTAAAACTACTTTAACTACAGTAATGTAAAAATAAATCAATATTATACAAGTGGCTTACAATCAAGAATGCAAGAGGACCCGTGTAGAATTGTTTTGTCGGGTCAACCTTCCACTTGTGTTGGCTATCTATCATTGAGTCAAGTAATAAAGAACACCAATTGTATTGAGAGCACTGATCAACATTATCACCAAGTACTAGAATCCGTTGGTTGACATACGGATTGCTAAGCGATTGGATCATGCTGTTGTGCAAGAGAACCAAGAAATTCAGTTTAAAAAACAGGTTAACATCAGAACTGTGCTTCAGTTTCTCAGACACAGCCCCTGGAGTAATTTTCCAACCAAATCTGTCTGTGAATTGACCCCTCCATTCATCCACCAATGCTGACTTGCCAGTACTGGAAGCTGGTATACGCTTCCTGCCTAGAGGTAATCCCATCACTTGATGTACATCTTCCTCTGTGATACTGATTGATCCTCTGGGAAGATTAAGCGCAACGGATTCACTGTCAAAGGACTGCAGAATCTGGTACCCCAACATATGTGGCAGTTCCTTTAATCCAAATTGTAAAAGACCTCCAAGTCCAGCTAGTCTCACCCATTCTTTTTGGGAGTCAGAGAGTGACAAAACCATATCAGAGAATATCTTTGGAGAGACCCGTATCCTAGTCAACTCCTTAGGTTCAGAACTCTCATTTTTTTTTCAAAAACTTCTGCAGTGACAAAAAAAGAAAATTAGTACAAATTATCCATCAGTTAATAACAAAAAATGTTCTTGTGAATATCAGGATTCACATTAGTGAATCGAGATTCTCTATGTTTGAGTGAATACAAATTGACTCCACTAAGTAGCTATTCACTTGAGTGAATAGAGATACATCCAATGAATCGCGATTCACTCTAGTGAATCTCGATTCACTGCAGTGAATCTCGATTCACTGCAGTTAATCTCGATTCACTGCATTGAATCTCGTTTCACTCAAGTGAATCGAGGAGTTTAAAGTAGAGTGCATATTGCAGAATCCAGACAACCAGAGTTAATCGTTCACAAATGTAAAAAGATGTTTAGTACATTAACCTTTTTCATCTTTTTCCTTCCTCTTGTCATCTGTTCATTGTCTTCATCCCTACTACGCTTTGATGTTTCGTCAGCTGCAGGATTATTTGGGGGGTTCACGAGGTCATCGTCAGTGTTGGACCTAACATATCTTTTTTTCACAAGCTTCTCCAGTGAGGAAAATAATATAATTAGATCAAATTATCCATCATTGAATACACAAAAAAAATTAAAAAATTTTAGTACACCAACCTTTTTCTTCTTCATTCTTTTTGGGGTCTGTTCATTGTCTTCATCCCTTGTACGCTTTAATGTTTCCTCACTGTCAGGATTATTTGGGGGGTTGATGAAGTCATCGTCACTGCTTTGCATGGTCACAACCCGTGTTGTCTTCTGTTGAGGTAAAGGTGTAAATACCTCAACCTTCTCAACACATGCTTTTTTTTTATTCTTGAACTAGATCGTAGACCTGCTAAACCGATGACATTTCATTTTTTAATGATAACAGACTTTGCATAATGCATGGCAAGCATGAAGGTTTAATCACATTATTGAATATAGATATTATAATCCATATCGCAATTCACTTCAGTGAATAGCGATTCGCTGAAATGAATATCGTTTAACTGCACTAAATCGCGATTCACGTGAGTGAATATCAATTCACTCCATTGAATCGTTGCAGTCAATAGTGTTTCACTGTAGTGAATCGAGATACACTTTAAGTGAATCTAGATTCACTTTAGTGAATCGAGATTCACTTAAGTGAATCTACATTAACTACAGTGAATCAAGATTCAACCAAATGTATTAAGATTTATCAAAGTGAATCCAAATTCAACAAATTGTATCGAGCTTCAGCAAATTGAATCCAGATTCTATGATATGAAACCAACTCCATGACATACCATACATTATTTCAGTGTCTCGTCACTCAACACAACAAGGAAAAACTGATCATCGTTACAGTTTAATGTCACTGTTAGTATACATAAACCATATAATTAGTGAATCGAGATTCTCTATGTTTGAGTGAATACAAATTGACTCCACTAAGTAGCTATTAACTTTAGTGAATAGAGATACATCCAATGAATCACGATTCACTCTAGTGAATCTCAATTCATTGCACTGAATCTCGATTCACTACAGTGAATCTCGTTTCACTCAAGTGAATCGAGGAGATTAAAGTTGAGTGCATATTGCAGAATCTAGACAACCATAATTAATCGTTACCCATTTAGAACAAATGAAAACATCTTGCAATATTAACAAAAACTTAGTTTGTTTTTAACAAGATAAAGGCAAATGAAAAAAATAAAAACCCTAAACTAGAACATGCATCGGTAACATATTATGGGAAAGCTAAAAAAATAAAATAAAAAAGTATTCAACAACATGCAAGTGATTCATGTCTAAATTACGAACCTTTCCCCACTGAATCTATGAAAAATTTTGAAACTTTGAAAAAAAAATTACATTTTTAATACGAGGGTTTGAATCGTTTTACCCGTTCTTGAAGACGACGGTTTTGGAATCTCTGTGTTGTTTTTCTTCATCTCCATAGTCGAAGTCTTGCTGGTCGCCTTCGTTCGATTTGTAATTAGATGTTGAAAGTAACCTAAGTGTTGAGAAATCGACGGAATGTGAATAGTTTAGTTCTTGGGGTAAAGAGAAGATGAAACTGTATTCAAAATGGAGTGAAACTGAATCGTTTTTTCGTCGAAAGTAGTGTTCGACAACTTCTGGTAATTAATTACAGCGTGAAAAATTAATGCTGCTTTTCCTAAATTACCCCTTTTATTGGTACTTTGTCAGCTGATGTTCAATTAATTTCAATTCTACCATTTTCAATCTTGACCATTGGATGAAATAGAATGTA